TAGAGTAGGGAGATATTTGGACAATGCAATAATAAGTAGGAATTGGGAGGGAGTAGCGAAGGCACGGGAGATTGTTGCGACTAGAGCGTTTTTCTTGAGGGTAGCAAAGAGGGAAGGATGGGGTGTGGCAGCGGAAATTCGGGATTCGTCAGACGAAGTTCCTATGGATGTGTATTTTCAGGATAAGTTAGTCAGTGCTAGGCAGTTGGCGAGGAATAAGCGTCCAAAAGTGGGATCAGCGGTAACCGGTGTACCGGTGGGATTGGGAAATGTGGCGGCGAACCAGGTGGGATTGGGAAATGTGGCGGCGAGCCAGGCGGTACAGTGGCCGGCATTTCAACATCCGGTACAGCAGTGCAGCCTGGGTTAGTGCAGAATATGGTTCCGTTTCAGGCGGGTCAGTCAGCCTTTGTTCGAATATAGCCCCAGTGTACGGGATTATGGGGCTGAATCAAAGCTCGTATCAGCAGTCGTATAGAGGTTAGAGGAGTTCCAGGCCGTATGGTAATAATAGGTTTTTAGGTAGAATAGGAACCCGAAAATTGTAGGTTTTATTTGTGAAGAACAGGCTACATAGCCTGGGATTGTCCTCAGAAGAAGTTCGGGCGGCCCTTTCGTAGGTCAGACTCGGGGGTGAAAGGAGTTGACTGTATTCGGTGGGAGAAAAATCGGGAGGAGAAGAAGGTGGTGGGAAGGATCCACTTGGTAGCGTTGGTAAGATATTGGAAGGAAATTATAAACCTGCGGCGCTGGTTGTGGCGTGGCTAGAGAACAGGGTGCCTTTGTACCCGGGAAATATGAGATCGTTAGTATGAAAGAAGGTGACGAGGCAGGTCGAGTTTACAGAGGACAAGTTGAAGTAGGTAGAGCAGGAGTTGGAGAGGCTGATGAGGACGGGGTAGTAAAGTTGGTATTTGTGAGGAGAGAGAGATCAGAAATGTTACTAGAGGGGAAGAGATCTATGCGTGCCCACCCTTTGGCATGGTGCATCGGGTGTTGACGCACAGTCGAGAGTGCAAAGCTCGAGTGTTGCTGATTCTTCTGGCATGGGTTTCGGCACCGTGGTGGCCGATCTTTCTCAGGGCGTCCAAGAAGGTAGTGGAGTTGCCACCGACAGTGGAGATCATCGTTCCAGGGCCGTCGGGGCAGAAGGATCATGCAAAAACCCGGCTTGGAGGCTATTGGCGGCGAAAATAGAATGGTAGGGGTTTTGATAGAGCGGGCCGATAGTTTAGCATATGGTGCGTTTAATAGGAGTTATAGGAAAAGGTTGGTTAGGGCGCAGCAATTGTTTGGAAAGTTTTGCGGTGAACGAATGGCGCGGCTTGTCCAGCAAGTGTCGATACAGTTAAAGCGTTTTTGGGATAGTTGGAGTTGGCAAGTATGTCGACGGAGGTGTATGAGTATCTTGGGGCGATAGGTAGGTTGCATAAAGAGAAAGGGCTGAGTAGTCCGGTAGAAGATTTAGGATAAAGAGGCATCAAGTTGTTGAAAGCTCAGGACCACGATTCGGAATGGCCTCGGGGTCCGTTCCCATTGGAGGCATTAAGACGATTGCATGATAGTCCTCAAGGGAACGTGGACCCGATAATGTGGTGTAGGAATTTGGCTTTAGTGTCAATAGGTTTTTGTACGATGTGTAGGCCGGGAGAGTTGTGTGAATTGAGGTTGAAGGATGTGGAACGAAGATCGGGTTGTTGTGATTAAGGGTAAGAAAAGCTAAGAACGACCCTTTTGCGAATGGTAGGTTTGTGCCGGTTGAGCCTACGGGTAGTAAATTCTGCCAGGTGAGATTATGGGAGAAGTATATAAGGGTGAGGCCTTATACAGTAGAGGATAGGCCCTTGTTTTTATCGAATAACGGTGGGGGAATGTCGGTAGCAGCAGTTGCAGCGGTGGTAAAGCATATGATAGAGTATACAGGAATTAGGGGTCGTTTTACGGCACATAGTTTAAGGATTGGTGGTGCGACAGCGGCTATGAGAGGAGGTATGTCGTTGACGCAGATAAGGACTATCGGGGTTGGGATTCGAAAGCAGTAAGGTTGTACCTGAGGGCAGTGGAGTCTACGAATGAGGGGGCTTCAGTTGGAATGGGTTTTTAGGGGTTTGTATGTAGGGTTTCCAATTGAGAGTTATGAGTTTTACGTGCATAAGCAGTGTAAGGAGAGAGGATGCAATTCGATTCTCTTGATGATCCCGTTCAGTGTATTTCGTAGTTGTTAGTGAACCGGGTGATCGAGTGACAAATGAGATGCCGTGAACGAAGTCACGGGCCATCCATTGGTCACGAGATCACAGCCCAGTCCCATTAGGGTGTCCAGGATTATGCGAAAGCATAATATGCGCATAATTTACCAATTTTTCGCATCGCATATGCTTCGCATAA